GACTTGTTTGGACTTAAGTCCGTTAAGGAAACTTATTTGTTATGAAGTCTATTTTTTGTCAATTTTATCATACTATCTCTTCCTTTTAGAAGTGGAATAAAGATAAAAATTAAAAACTCCTAAATTTTATTAAGAGTTTGATTAACATTAAAATTTTCCTTCTTATATATATATATATAGTAACATTAAAAATAAAAAATAGTAACATTCAAATACAAAAAAAAATTATTATTTGAACACAAAAAATAATACATTTAAACACAAAAAAATAGTAACATTTAAACATAAAAAATTGAAACATTCAATATTAATATTTTTAAAAAATAACAACAGTAACAAGTTCAACAAAAATATTAACATGTTCAACAAAAATAGCAACATGCTTAATAAAAGTTATAATATACTTAACAATAATTATTTATCTTAAATTCAAATACAAAAAATAGTACCATTTAAATACAAAAAATAGTAATATTCAAAAAAAAAAAAATAGTATCATTGAATATTAATATTTAGGAAAATAATAGTAGTAACATGGTTAACAAAAATAGTAATATGCTCAAACTCTTAACCTATATATGGATATAGATAGATATAAGAGAGAAAAGATTAACTTCCTTTTAAGAAATGGTATTTTTGAGATAAAAATAAAAAGTGAACTTAAGTCATTAAATATAAGTTTAAACATGGACTTAACCCCTTATAAATTTTATTACAAAATTTATCTCCAAATAAATACATCTAAAGACTCGCTTTCAATTTATAATTCCTTCCAAACTACTCATTCCACTCGATGGACAACTCGGTACCATCGAGTGGTGTGGGCATTGGCTTGGGTTGGTCGGGCCTACATTTGACATTAAATTGGGCTTCACCAGGCCTAATCAGCTGAACGAGAAAGAAAGTAGAAACGACTTTCAGTGCCCACCAACGCCATAACAAACCCTTTTCCGGCGACGTTCAACTCCAAATTAACTTCCCCAAAAACGTCGAAACCTTCTTGTACCTTTCAAATCCACAAAGATTCCATGAAATTCAAACGATTTCTATCAATTCCCATTTTCTCAGTGTTCCTCTTAGTGGGTTTCGTCTATTATGTCACAGTATTCATTTTCATAGATGATTGGTTGAGTTTACAGAGCTCAGCTGGTTCACTGAACGCTCTGATCTTCACTGTGTTGGCTTTTCTCTCTGTTTTCTCTTTCTTGGTCTGTGTTCTCACCGACCCAGGTGGAGTCCCATCTGGATATGTTCCTGATATTGAAGATAGCGAGGTCTCAGATCAAGAACACAACAAAAGTGTAAGTCCGTAAAGTTTAATGTTTAGGGTTTTAAAAGAATGATCTTTATAACCCTTTTTGTTTGATGCTGGACTTGTAATTTTGGAGTTGATACTTGTGTGGTTTATGGGATTGGTAACATTTTTTTGTTTGATTGGTGGCTTTTGGATTGATGTCTTCGAATTGGACTTGTGAAATAACTAGAAAATCTGAACTAATCTTCCCCTAATACTATTTTGAAGGTTGAATTCCACATTTCCAGGCGCACGAAAGTACATTTATTTCAGTTTCTTTCATTACCCAGGCCAGACCTTTGGCATTAGTTTCACATAGTGACATTTGAATTCAGGAAATATTGTGGTTGTTAGCTCAAACCATTGCACTAGATAATCACTCCTAACGATGGTCTAATTCTTCTTAAAAGTTTTGTTTGATGTGCGATGACATCCCAAATAATTGGGATAGAGGCTTTGTTGAGTTGAGTTATGTGTACTAATGGCATGTATGCATGCACATGTGTGTGTGTGTGTGAGCATGCGTGTTTATGTGTACTTTCTTTGGTTTGATGGTAAGGCGGGTTTACAATCCTGATGACTTGGTTTGGTGTGAAATATTTGAGCAGTTGTGAGAAATTATGTGGTTGGGAAGACCAAGCAGCTAGTCATCACTTGCATTGCTGAGTGCTGAAGGTATGTGTAGAGTTTAGTGAGCAGGGCTCCATGGGCTGAGTCTCATAATGTGGTCTCTGAACTTGTTACCTATTCTCGTGAGTTTTGATAAAAAGTGTCGTGATAATGAATTGCTAGTAGAAGAGCATGACATGAGAAGCGTGTTATGGTTCCAAAAGGTTATGGGCCCTGATTTCAGCTGTTCCATCAATTTTGGAACTTTTGGAGTCTTGATCTGGTTAATTGTTGGTCTCAAAATAGGCAACACATTGGAACTCAAGAGACAGAAAGGGCTACATCGAGTAGACCTACTTGGAGTGGAGTGACAACTATTTATATGGATAAAATGCTACTGCATAGGTGAAGCTAACTAGACCAAGAGCCACCACTAGATTTCTACCTAGGAAATGGATATAATGAGACGTTCTCGGGAGGAAAAAGGTTACAATGCCCCAGATTGAGAGCTAACTGAAGTGAGAGCTGAGGATGGTGGTATAATTGTGGTATATGTGATTTTCAAAGGGTTACAAGGTGTGATTCACTTGTTCGTATTAAACCTGGAACTTCTTTGTAGATTTGATTCATAGCAATGAGTCTGTTTGATGACAAAACAATATAGAACTGGAAGATTCTAGTCACTGAATTACTTCTGAAGATCTAGGCTGCTGAAAAACCAGTTAAGTATCTATTTGGCACTTTTTAATATTTGGATTTAAATTTTACTAATCTTTTTGTCAGAATTTGTAACAAAGCCAAGTTTTTTCATGCTTAAATTCTGACTAATTTGGAAGTGATTGGTGATTGTTTTTTATACTTCGATATAGCTGAAAGGGCACTGAAGCACTTAATAAGGGTCAAAAACCTATCCCTCAATTGCACACCATGTATTGGGACAATTCATTTTTAAGTTAATTCCGAAACCCATTTGGCTGTTAATGTTGTAGCTCTGCTCCATCGACACTGATATTAGTTATGTTTCAGATGTTTACTTGATTTTTTTATAGTACCTTCCCAGGTCCCATAAATGCAAACAATCTTAGGTTGCAATAATTATGCGTCCTCACCAATTTAGATTGGGTTGGGCCCATAAACTCTCTCTCTTTCTCTCTCCAAACAAAACTTGTTTGTTAATAGATTGCTGATAATCTATAGTGAACCATAAGCAGTTTCTTCCAGCAGAGGCTTTGTTCTAAAGTCAGTAACTCTTCAGTGAAATATTTGCATTAGAATGTGAATTGCTATTCCTGGATGATGACTTTCAGGGCATACATATGAGAAGATGTGACAAGTGTTCTTCATACAAGCCTCCCAGGGCTCATCATTGCCGTGTATGCAGAACGTGTGTTTTGAGGATGGTGAGTGCTCTTCCATTTTTCTTGTAAACATTGAATGATATCTGATCTCCTTTTTTCACCACAATTTGCGCACAATGTATATAGTCTCCTCTTACACTAAACATTGTGTGCAGGATCATCACTGTCTCTGGATAAATAATTGTGTGGGTCATAGAAACTATAAGACCTTTTTCATTCTTGTCCTATATGCAACTATGGCAAGCATATACTCTTCGGTATGTTCAATACAGCCTCTTTTGTAGAATTTTGCCATGTACTCGATGGTTCTTAATCAAAGCCTATGGAATGCTTAGGTTATAACTTTAAGCTGCGCCCTTCAGAAGGACTGGGATTTCAGCAGGAGGGCTCCCCTCAAGGTCTTTTATGTGAGTTGGTAGTTGATCTGTATAGCTATTCAGTTAAGTTGTATATGTAATGGCTTTGTGTGGTTTTTGCATTGCAAATACTTGGATCAGATTCACAGTTAAGCAAGGAATTCGAGTAATATGTGTGGTTTAACCTTATAAAGGCATTGACATGCAATGCAAACCATGTTGTGGCATTGTTTGGTTACAATAATCTGCTTTGTTTTCCTTCATTTGTACAAAATTCTGGCAGCAGTATATATTGAGAACAATTTTTGGGCAAATAATATTACAGATTACTTGCGGGGTAATGATTCTTGGTTTAAGCTTGACACTGGGGACTCTCTTTTCCTGGCATATTTACCTCATTACAGTTAACATGACAACCATTGAGGTAAACTATGAGTTTGTATCATTAAATTTCACCATGTTGATGCATATTTCCTGTGGTTGTAAATGAATGATTGGGAATGGGCTTTTTTCACCAGTATTATGAAGGGAAACGGGCAGCATGGTTGGCTAGAAAATCTGGTCAGAGCTACCACCATCCCTTCAATGTCGGTGCTTACAAAAACATTACTTTGGTACTCACTCTCCTCTAATATTTGTGTGTGTGTGTGTATATATATCCTCACTCAGATAAAGATATATATTCATGCATCCATATTCTAGAATCGTAACTCATCATATCCTGACCAGATATTAGGTCCAAACATGCTGAAATGGGTGTGCCCTACGGCAGTGAGCCATTTGAAAGATGGAATTGACTTCCCAGCTGCACGCGATAGCTCGTAAAATCATCAGTCTTGGCAATGATATCAGAAAATGGTGGCATCTCATCTGGATAAGCCCTGTATAGCAAATTCGCAAGTATTTATTCGTCCTTCTATTTTCATGGGAAATTATCAAGAATCATGGTAACGGACTGGCAGTATCTGTCTGGATAACATTGGGCTTGTTCTCCGCTGCAACTAGGTAGATGTTGCTTCACAAAGTCACACTGCAGTCTCTTACCACAACCACATGAACTTCCCTGCAGCACCATTCGAGGATCTTGATCTCTGATACTCCCTCACAATGCACAACTGTAGATGAAAATTGTACATTCGATCTCCATTTGCTGAGGGTACTGAACGTGCTTAAGTTATTGATGTAACTGAAATCAATTTTTCTTCCCTGATCTATGATGGGCCATACAAAATTTTCCTATAATCTTCCTATTAGTGATTGTGACAGCTTTTATATGAAACACACTACCATAGGTAGCATTTAGTAAGCTAATGTTGTGCAACCAATATATACTGTTACCTGTATATAATTTATTTCACTGATAAGAAATGAAGTATGTCTTTGTGTTCTAGTCTCTAGATCTTTTTTATTGCTGGGTTTTGACTTGAAAGAACTTTATGGCAATAGGTTTTCCACGTAAAATAGTGAGAAGTGAACTTGTATTCCAGCTTCAACTAGCTGTATTCGGTTAGAACATTGTTTCTGATGGCTAGTTCTATTTTCTTTTTCTTTTTCTGTTCTTTTGTGCAATTATTTCCATTCTTGCATTTAGGAATTTGGTTGTGCAATTTCCCTTTCTTTAGTAAATTTAAATTGACACCGACTCGTCGTTACGTGTTGGCACTATTTTTAAGTATTTCAAGATTTTCTCGCGTCTACTGCATCCATGAAATCAAATGCATTGACTTACAACTTACAAGTATAGGCAATGTATCCAGCGGTGATGACTGCTGAGATCATTCTGTGCTGATCTTTGATTGATCCGTGTAAACCATGTTCTCTAATTCCTTCCTTGTCAAACCACAAAACATATGATGGCATCATAAGAAGACTGCATAGACTACCTGGCCCTTCTAATGCTTCATAGAATTAGAATGACTGTACTGTGAATCTAGTTTTTTAAGGTATGTAGAAGTTAAAATGGCTTATATACACTGCTGTTGACATCACATAATCTACTTTTATGGTAGCTTGTTTTCTTTTAAAGGCCTATATTTATGCCGCTGGGTGACTTGTTTTAGTGTTACAAGAATGGTTGCTATTCTATGTTCATGCTCTGTTATGTTTGATTTCTGGACCCAACCATGGCTTCATCACTAAATCCAAAATCTTCATTTTATGGTCAACATATTCCTAGCAGTTGATTTTGAATTTGCTGTGAAGATTAGTGGTTTTGGAATTAGTCAACATGCTCACTTGTACTATTTTGCCCCTTTATCTCCATAAAACTGAACTTGTAAATATATAGGTCTAAATATCCTAAATATCCGTTATTTTTTATTACCATACTTTTTTTTTCAACCAATGGGAATGTGTGATATATGTGAGTGTTCATATTTGTTATTGCCCTTTACTTTATAATTTTCATGATTAATGGCTACAAATGAATTAAGCAAAGGTTTATGGTCGCAAATTATTTTTGGGAGAATTAAACTCAGAGTCCTGAAGTTAATATTTAGATCCCTCAAGTTTAAAATATTATGTATAGACCAAAAATACTCTAATCAAAAATAGAATATCAAATATTTTAAATTTTAAAATTAAAAATTATATTCTATTGTATAATTTATTGAAATAAAATCAAAAATAAAAAGTCAAATTTTCTTTAAAAAATTCTAATTAATATACAATTATACTATCTATTAAAATAAAACTAAAAAATAAAGAAGGGGTCTAAGTCATTCATAATAGAACATGAATTTTACAACCAAAATTCATGTTCTATTAAGTCATTTATTGAAATAAAAATTAAAAAAAAAATCTAATTCTTTATTAAAAATTAATAATTAGTGTACAATTATACTATCTATTAGAATAAAACTAAAAAAATCAAATAAGAGGTCAAACTATAATGGACACAATATATTTTAGTTTTAATTGGGGTAATTTGGTAGTTTAATTTGGTCGTTTAAGCGATCAAATTAAATTCCAATAGATGGTATAATTGTATACTAATTATGATTTCTTAAGAAAAAATTAAATTTTTATTTTTAATTTTATTTCAATAAATGTCATAATAGAACATGAATTTTGGTTATAAAATTTAAAATATTTAATATTATATATTTGATAGGAGTATTTTGAGTTTACGTATAATATTTTAAACTTGAAGAGTCTAAATATTACACGCCTATAAACTTTAGGGGATTTGAATATAATTTATTAACGGATAAACTAACAGACATTAACAGCATAGGTCTAAGTGTTACGCACGGAGGTCTGTATGTAATATTTCAAATGTCCGGGATTTGAGTGATTAAGTGACAAATTTAAGAGATTTGAATATAATTCTCCCATTATTACGATATAATACCAAATATTTTTTTTTTCAGTAGTATAATCTTATCCGTGAATATGTACTCCACTTAGCCGAAATGCAAATTATGTCCCCTAATTTAGTGATGATCATTTGTCATCGATTTCTGGGTAAACAGTTAAGCGGTCTGCAGTTTCCAAAGTAATGTTTAAGAGGAAGATCCATTAAAAAGAAGAGGAGGACGAATAGGAGATGCTACGGGTTCTGGAAGGAGGTTGCTACTTGTTCTGGAAGTGACAAGGCAAAAAACGTTTGGCCACATAGGGCCAGGGGACAAAAGAAAAGGGAGGGGAACTAGGGGGGGACAGAGTATGTGGGTCCACTCTCAGATTTTCGATTTCAAATTATATTATAGATAATCTTAAAACGACACTTAAATCTTAAACAATAACTCTAATTCCAAATTGTCATTCTAGCTCCAAATTGTAAGCTCTAGCATTCTATTTATTTATTTTGTGATGTTTGAACTTATACTTTGATTTTTAATAGTAAGTTCAATATTCTTTTGATATCTTATTTATTTTGTGATGTTTGAACTTATATTTTGATTTTTAATAGTAAGTTCAATATTCTTTTGATATCGTGATATGCAATAATTAATTTTTTTTTATTCATAACGGGTATCTGGTATACTCTTATGGATTATAGTTAGCCTTACAACTTTGTCTTAAATATAAGATGTGTATTAACTGACTATGTAATAGTGAAAGCGATCTAATTACGAGCTCTGATGTAAACCGTGATTTAATAAAGTGTATCAATAAAGATAACGCATGCCTCACTTACGTATTAGGAAAATATTGTTCCCCTTACTTGTAGTACGATATGCCAAATTGACCTACGATATTGATTGGATTCTTATGTTGACAGCTAATTATATTGTTCATGCAATCAATACAAGCAGTGCTTCAAAAATGAAAACAAATAGAATTTATAGAAATCACCAATAGAATGATGTGGCTCGTCTTTTAAACGTATGTATTTTCAACTGGAATGTTACTAAGACGAATCCACCACGATATCATCCCACATGGGGGAATCGACAAAGCATCCAAATTCTCTAATGTGCTATTAAAAAATGAGATAGGCATCTCTGATCCACATGACTCTAATCTATCTGCTATGATTTGCTTTGAATTTTTTGTCACCGGCAACCAAAATCTTTGAAACATATTCAAATAGGTGCCAGCTACCAATCTACAATTTGCATATCAAACTATGTGACAAAGGATTTGAATATACTCGAGTATACGATTCTAAAATTATTTCGATCTTAAATAAATTTGTCACAAAGTTGTGATTTAACTAGATTAACTAAATATTTTAGATCAATCCTAGTTGGCTGAGTCATAATTTGACCCAATTTGAATCTTAACTTTATCTAATATACTTAACTTTATCTAATATACTTAGTGTATGGAGGAAGATCTTGCATCTTTGATTGATGTGGAGTTTTATTTGAAAATAAACTATGTACATTGTCGTGTAAAACGAACAAATTGCCACAGAGTGCGATTTGGTTGGTCGGAAATATTCTGATGTTTTACTCAATAAGGATCTGAGATAAAGTAAGTCAATTGAAGGGAAAGAAGTATGTACATTCAAATTTAAGCTCATCTTTTATTTATAGAAATCTGTACCCACTATTCGTTGGCCAAATCTTCACAAATTCATATTTTCACTTTTCTATATTTTCTTTCTTAGTAGTCAATTCTTTAGGTCACATGTTTATATTTTGTACCTACTAATTAGACAATTTCCTTATTGACAGCCTAAAATCGCCTCTATTATTCGGGATAGTCTAGCTATCTTTTTGTTTGATCTTAGTCGTTATGCTTAAATTCGTGAACTTTGTTGGGACACCACATGTGAGAATCTTACATCGAATAAGAAAAGAATTGGAGTGAGTCCTAATATACCTTGAATAGGTTTATTAGTGGTCAAATCAAATAGGAAACAAACTGGTAGAATCATAATATGTCGTGAATAGATATATTAAATATGTGATAGAAAACATAGAAATTAAGTAATATCTAAATAGGTTCGGTGATAATATTTTATCTGTATAAATGAGATTGAGTATAATATAATTAGTAACCAAAATTTTAATGAATAATACATTTATGTAATTTTTTGACTTGTAGATGTACCTATGTGGCTCGTTTGGTTGTCATATTAAAAATGAATAGATTAGATAAAGTAATATAGTCTAATACAACATAAAATGGATTAAAGACAAGATTAAAATACCCTATAATACAGGATCGACCTCCTCTGTCGCCGTTGATTGCTTGACTTATCACCATCCGAAGGTGGTTTAGATGGAATTCCCTCCTTATCCTTCTTCATACGTTCGATTGACGACGAAGTCTCCTTGCGATCAGATACAACGAACGTTTGTTATTTTCCCCCTTTACCAGAAGCCCAAGAAAAACCGACCTTCTGACCAAACGACTCGGCACAGAAGGCATCAAAAGAACTGAACATCGACATCAACATAATTGATTTTTCTCTTTGTTTCTCTCTGAATCTCAAAAATAAAGCTATCTAATCAACGATGAATGAATCCTTTAAAACCCTTCAAGAACTTCTCCTCTATGGAAGAATCGAAAAGGGTAATTGAAACCTTGAAGAAAACGACGAGTGAATGGGATGTATATATAGACGGCGGGGGTGGCTCAAGATAATTTAGGGCCTAAAGCGATATTTTTAAATAAAATTTTTTATGTTTAGTGTTAATATTTTTTATTTAAAATTAATTTTTCTTACTTTTTGAGTTGCAAAAGTATTAATTAAAGTTTTATATTTAAGTTTTGCTACCATTTCTTTTTCAATTGATAGTATCGTTAATTCAGTTAATCTTTCTTGTAACATTGTCAATTTTAAGTAAGATTTTATCAATTTTAATTTTGAAAAGCTTTTTTCCGCATAAGCAATTGTTATCGGAGTTGTTAATAATATTTTATAAGCAATGCATGCATTTGAAAAAGAATCTAACTTTTTTATATAATTTAGTATTTCAATTGGA